ATGCCTCTATTTCAGAGAGTTAACCAGCAGTTACCAGAAGAGAGAAGCAAGAGATGGGTATTTCTTTTCAGGAGAGAATTAAGGTTAGCAGATCTCCTTTCAGTTTCAAGAAAAGCATCACTAGCCACAGACTCACTCACCACTTCCCTTTCAGTCTGGAAGCAAGCTATTATTTTGCAATCTAAATTATTTGACAGTAACAAAAAAAAAAAGTACTCTGAAGTATATGTGGGTCTTTTCACCTGAGCTTCTGGAAAAGTCTTTGCTTCATACCAAAGCCACTTCTCACTTCAGAGGCCAAACAGATAATTCAGTCAAGCCTCAGAAAATACCCACTGTGAACACACATACCCATTTCAACATCACAGTCATAAAAAGATTATTTGCATGGCAATTCTCATAATGTGCTCTCTGGTAGATGGGTAGCCTTATATTGCTTAATTACACCAGGCCAACACCACCAGAAGCTAAACTTGACAGACACCTTTGCGATGGGGACATGTCAAGTGTGTGACATCCCTTCTTCCCACTGGCATTTCATGGACCTGTTATACAGCTGAATGTTGCAGTTTAAGATGTAAATTACTTCGTTTTATTCCATCCCACAAGGAATATTGAGAAACACTCCTCCAGTGCTAAGCAAGTGTCTTTGTTTCATTTTCCTGCATCATATAAAGCTCTTGTGGCTTGGAAGGGACCTCACAGCTCATTGTTGGCTGCTCCAACCCCATCCAGCCTGGCTTTTGATACTTCCAGGGATCCAGGGGCAGCCACAGCTTCTCTGGGTACCCTGTGCCAGGGTGGGCCCAAACTCACAGCCAAGAATTTTTTCCCATTATCCCATCTAATCCTACTCTCAGTTCAAAACCATTCCCTTCTGTCCTAATCACTACACGCCCTACACACTCCTATCTGTGGAATCAAAAGAGCACGGTAAAAAAGCTCAATTAAAATGGGGCCCTGGTGACAGTGACACAGACTGCACACGACTCTGGGAGGCTCATTTTCCTTGCCATGGCACACCCCCTGCTTTACCAGAGAGAATCACATTCCCCAGAGCAATCTGGGACAGAAGTACCTTTGAATCCAGTTGTCTGAATCGGTGCACCATCCTAGAAGCAGAAGGAGAACACGGAGCAATGGGGTCAGTCTGGATACCAAGGAAAACTTGGCTAATTACCACACCCCCACTCCCTCCAGTGCTCCATCCTCCCAGGGAGGCAGGGCTGCATGTGACTGGCATAATTTTTAGTACAAGTAAATTAACTAACATGCAAATTACTATTAGTAGGATGCTATTACATTTTCCTTCTCAAGACATTTTTGCTTCCAGTACCAAGGAAATGTTTTTGGTATTTGTTCGGCTTCTTATGCAATGCTGCTTGTCTCTGGGTAGTCTTAACCTGAACACTTATTTGTGGACAGCAATGTTCATGCCCACAGATATGGAAGGGTCTGTTTTTTCTTGTCCATTCCTATCAGCTCTCTCTGATTAAGGGAAATATTCAAGCTGCCAGAAGTTAGCAAAGTTAAGCAATCATACAGAGCAGGTTTAGTTCTCTAGCAGTGTTCTGGTTTCTTGCTTTCTTTCGGTTTTTGTTGTTTTTTTTTCCTCTTATACTGTTACTCTTAAAACGGTGAGACAGATCCCATAGATAATGTTTCCATGAGCTGGCAGTCAAAGAAATATCCAAGCATAAGTCTCCAAAGTTTCAAATACCATGATTCTAAAGATCATCTTCCCCGCCTCAGAAGTCTCCACAACTCATGCTACTAATTACACATCTCCATTTGGATTACTGCTGTGGGAATGTCTGAGATTCCAGGTCTAACAGTAAACATTCTCTGCTAAATGTAAAATCATAGAATTATTTGGGTTGGAAAAGATTGAGTCCAACCAATTCCACCACTAACTCATGTCCCCAAGTGCCATATCCACATGGCTTTTAAATCCCACGCCAAGATGGGGGTGCCACCACTGCCTTGGGCATTCTGTTTCAGGGCTGGACACCCTTTCTATAAAGAACTTTTTCCAGCCATCCTGTGGTGGCTTTTACCATTGTGAGCACATGGCGCTTGCCTTGGCGTGTCTGGGGCAGTGTGATGTAGTCAATCTGCCAGGCCTCCCCATACTTGTACTTGGACCACCGCCCACCATACCAGAGGGGCTTCACTCGCTTGGCCTCCTTGATTCACAGTACACGCTTCACAGTCATGGATCACCTGAGAATACTGTCCATGGTTAGATCCACCCCTTGGTCTTGTGCCCACTTACAGGTGCCATCTCTGCCCTGATGGCCTGAGATATCACTGGCCCATTGTGCTCGTAGCAACAGCCACTGTTTGAGGCTTACAGTCTGGTTTAGCTCCTAGCTTAGGCTCACAGTCTGGTTTAGCTGCTGGCTTTGAGCTTGGGCTGTTGGCTGCAGCCTGAGTGACTGGATAGCTGCTGATTTATCTCCCTGCCCCCCTCCTCTGTCTGCTGCCCTACAGTATCTAGCAGGGTGCGATAAGCATATGCCAGGGCCCAGAACGCTGCAATGATCTTTTTCTCCTTAGACTTACCATGGCATTTCTCTTTCAGGTACTCTGCCACCTCAGCTGGATTCTGAATTTGTTCACATGGGAGTCCCAGGCTATAGGGTCAGAAAATTCCTTTAAGATTTGGCCCATATGCTCCCATTTCTTTCTTGAACTCCTCACATCTCCTGAGTTAAGAGGTACCTCCACATAACCTATTCCCGGAATTTCGGCTGGTTGTCCCTGCTGACCAGCACTGGGGGTTAGGGATTATTCCCAAAGCTACTTCCCTTAATAGATACAGAGCTTGCCCTTCCCTTTCTCTTTCCCCCTTGTTAGACTACGAGTAACGTGGTGATTTTTCTCAGGGACCGGCTCTGGGATTTTTATCTCTTAGTTAACAAAAATCTCCCCCTTGATCCAAATCGGGGTAGACTGCGGGTGGTGCTGGTGGGGGTGGAGGAGGGGGAGGTACGTATGGTAGAGGGGGTGCAGTTGGAACTTCCTCAGGCTTTTTATTTTTCTTTTCCCTCCCTGGGTGCTTAAGGCAAAAAGTTTTGCTCTTGTTTCCCCCACTATCCAGAGAGCAGCAATACTTGCTCTCTTCCATATCAAAAGGTTCTTTAGAGTTTACATAAATGTTTAATGCCTGGTAAATCCAGTCCTCAAAGCTTCCAAACACTGGCCAAAATAAATTATCACTACGGATTTGTTTCCCTCCCCATACTTTTATACAATAATGTATCATTTTTGCCTTATCCTTCCCTTTTCTTGAAGGATATTCATCCCAAGATTTTATCATTAGACCTAACGGACTGTCAGGGGGTATCTGGGGAAGCTTCAGCGGGGTCCCCCTCCCCATGGAAGCAGAGGGCTTGCTTTTCCTCTGTCCCATCTTCCAGGACACCTTCACGCACACACATGGCCCAGCCCCTCTCGGGGTCTGGAAACTGCACTACTTAGAGGTCCGCACTTGCCTCGTCCTAAAAGGACATCTCATGCGTTATGTCCTGGGATCCCAACCCCAACCGAGCGGATCCCCACTTTTAGACTCACGCTGTCCTGTGTCTTCGCCTGGGCTTCATGCACAAAGATTACGGGGTTACCTTTTGCTTAATACCAAATTTAGGTTCGTCAGTAAGGGTCCGGGAATGCAAAGCCTGCACCAGGGCTGCTGCAGAGGCAGCAGGACGCCTCCCTGATTAGGAATTCCCACCCGGTCGCCCTTATCCAAGTCACGGCACCAAATTTGTTATGGACAAATTCAATTGTGGAGGCTAATTATAGATAAATCAATTAACAAGAATTTATTAAGCAAGCAGTATTAAGCAAAAGAACAACGCTGGGCGGCCGGGGAGTCTCTGCTCTGCCACGGCGCACCTTCCCCCTTTGACCTTTTTGTTTTTATAGTCCCTTTTTTTTTCCAGTTGATGTATTTTCTGTCGATGCACTCTGCGCCGGTGCAATTGGGTGCTAGGGGGTCTTTTTTCTGCCCTTGGTGGTCATAGGAATGAAGGCTCCTCATCTTCCTTGCAGATTGTCCTTGGCCTAAAAGTTAACTTGTATATAATTAGTTACACAGTCTGCTATGCTACTTGCATCTGCACAATTCTTAAGCAGAATACTTGCTGTTTCCCCACCTTTCTCTTTCACCTCACACATCTTGAGATTCCCTACTCAGTTCAAATTCTTATCTCTTTCAATGCTCGTTTTGATGAGCAAAGACCTTTTTATTTATTATACTCTGGACATCTTAGCCCTCAGTCTAGAGGAGCTGTAGACTATATAGGGGAAGTTTACTAGATTAAATACGAGGAAAGTGGTCTCTTTAACATTCAGGGGAAACTGAACCTTTTCAAAAAGAGACTTAACAGATTCAAAGGAGAAGAAGGAAAGGAAAGGCTGGAAAGATTCATCCCTTGTTTTTCATCTAATAAACTGTGTGTAATTTCTAATAAACCCCCAAAACATGCTACTGGAACTGGGACATAGGGTAGGATGGAGAAACTATAAACCAAATATATCTTGAACAGACTTCAGTACTTTTGTAAACTCCCTATAAATTATTATTACTGAGCCTAGCACAATAGCTATTCAAACCCATGCCCCTCTACTGGAAAAGCTATGGATTAGAACAATAGTGGAGCTGTTTTCAGATAAGAAAATAATCCTAGTGCCTAGAAAGTTATTACAACTTCAAAAAGCCTTGGGACTAGAAATACATGAAGGCCCCCACCCCGAGAGACATTACCACTTCAAGTAACATCGTTACTGACTGCTTTGTGCCACTACAGAGTAAGCACAACCAAAATGCAATCATTACAGGTTTTTCTTCTTTCTTGGGCCTCACATTGGGTGCCAAAAATGGTTGGTTTAGGGTAAAATTAGTGGTTTTTTTAGAAAGTAGATTTAATTGGCCCATCCCCCAACCGGTATGGGAAAAATACTTCTTTGGAGAGAAGTGACAATAAGAGAAGGAGTTAACAAGAATGCAACTTCTTTATTGCTGAAGTTCAATACTAAATTCTGTAATCTTAGACTAACTAATCCTATGTTTTTAACAAATAATCATCTACTCAATCCTAACTTGAAGAATCCTAAAAGCTTAATCTTCTTTTAAAATAAAACAGCCCGAGTTCATAGATGTTTCCTTGCTGAAGTAGACAGCTGGTGCCAGGACTCCACTTGCTGCTTGCCAAATTCAGATACTCATTGCTGAATGTGGGACAGCTTTTTGTGGAGGTACTGGCATCTGCTCCTCATCTCAGAGTAGCTGGGGCTACCCTAGGAAGGAGAAATCAAAAGAAAATTAGGGCATGTCAACATTTATGCAGAGTTTAGAATTTCATGACCTTTTCTTTAAAATAGCCTTGAGGCAGACTCAGAGGTTACCAAGCCAGGCCAGTCTGGTTTTATTCATGTAAAAAAATAAAATTACTCTCAGTTTGACTTTGGAGGTATTTTTCTCTGTGAGCCACCATCCTTCTGGGAAATTTGCAAACTGAGCCTGTTGTATTACAGACCCAAGAACAAACTCTAGACAAGTCTGAAACCACAACAACAACAACAACCCAAAGCACAGCAGCTCCTAAAGAGGGCAAGACTCATTAACGCTTAAAGCCACTGAAGGGAGTCAAGCCTTCTTCAATCCCTTCTCCCTCAAATCAACAGGTGTGAGGTTTATCAAGCTCATGATACAAATCCAAGATGAAGTGGCAATGAGAATAATAGATGCCACATCCAAACACTGTCACACCAAAGCTTCTGCTCCTCTGGGCCTGAAGATCGGTTCTCTTTGCAATGACAAAAACTCATTCCACATGGGAATAAACACTTCAAACCATCCTGAGATAAATATTTACAAGGAATAAATCTTTAACAAGTTAAAATTCAGTGCAAGGACAGACAACAACATATGCCAGGGATGCATCCCAGGCCAGATGCACCTGACTGGTGTGCAGGATAAGTTTGAAAATAAAACTACAGATGCCTGTCAACATTTTGGGAGGTTCCCGAGAAGCAGTAGCTTCGACTACTGGCCTCTGCCCAGTGACATTTGCTAGCAAGAGCCCGAGCACAGGCCTCACTGCACTGCTCCCCTGCAGGGCCAGGCTTGCCCTCAGCCTTCCACAGAGCATCCCTGGCTGCACCCAGTGGGGCCCAGGGCCCTGCCTGCTCCAAAGGCCACAGCTGCCCCAGAGCCCCAGAGCTGCAGGAGGCCTGACTGCCCTTGCCAACACCACTGCTCTGAGACAAGCTGGGAGCAATTTCCAGTGTTTTATACCACACACACACACACACACATTTCTCCCTCCCCTCCTGCACTGCAAATACGATGAGGGGATGCAGCAGCACTGCTGCAGCTGAGCCTGTGCAGCTGCACTGCAGGAAGGGAGGGCCCATCCGGGCCTAACCCACCTCGGTGTTCATCTCAGCACTTCTCCCCACCTGGCCCATCTCCTCCTTTAGCTTTCTACCTCCTTAGCTGACATTTACTATTAAAGAATGTCTGTACTATTGACTCTGGAATATGGTCTTTCTTGCACCTTAATTCATGCAGAGGCTTCTCTTAATCATCAAATCTTTACTCCATCGTTATCCACACTGGAGTTAGGAAAAGCTGCACATTGGTACCTTCATGGAGATCCAAGGGACACTACTGCTTCAGCCTCCCGAATTCTCTTCACATCTTTTTTGACATGGTAGTCTTCAACACACGAGTGCTGTCATGGTAGAACTCAGAAATTTGTGTCTTTCTTGAACCTAAAGGGTGCAGGGGAAATGGAGCCGACATTTGCAGACAGGTAGGAAGTAGAACGGGATGTCACAGCCAGCACCCAGGAAGAAGAGTGGCCACCAGGTTCTGCCTGGAGGTAACTGAGCTACTGCTCAATCCTCCACTTCTTGCTCATCGCAGGACTGGTCAAGCCAGAAGCACAAGGCCGTTTCTACAACAATAACAAAACAGTTCATTAATCTCTGACCCAGATCAGGTTTTGCTCCCATTGTAAAAAAGCAGGATTTGTGAACTGGCAAAGGTTGAAAACACATGTTTTTTAAATAAAAATAGCTGTCAAACATGGAGGACCTCCAGGTAAATATCTGCTCTATTGCATTCCTAGTTTCTCATCTTAGGACTTAGCCAGTCCTTCTCCAAGTCTACTGCTAAAAGGCTTTGGGAAGTAGACACTCCCTTCAGCAGCTCCAGCAAAGCCTCCCCAAAGGGAGGTCCAGTGAGTTTTATCTGGGTCCCAATTTCTGCTTGCACACACCAGGAACAGACTCAGCTTTTGCTGTCAAACATCCACATGATTTACTGAAGAGGCACCTGGCTGTTTTAGAGTTTTATGTGTTAAAAACGAGACTAGTGCTTCCCTCTTAGAATCCAGGAGTACAGGGTGTGATGGTCGGTTGTGAATTCTCATCAGGATGAACAAAGACAGCAGCCACATGTCAGGAAACTCTTGTGCTTTTGGGAGCAGCTGTCGTAAATCCAGCAAGCTACCTGCTGTGCAGACTCAAAAGCTGCTGGCTAACAAGCCCTTGAATTTGTACAAGAGAGTGTCACAAGTGGTTACCAACAAGCCCTCACTGTTGCTCAGTGCCCTTCAATCATCTCTCAGCTCCTCCCAAGGACCTTCTCACAGCTGCTGACTCACAAGCCACAACACAGAGCCACAAGCTCCCCACAGCCACAGCAACTTCCAAACTGAGGATGGAGTAAAACAGGACAGCCGTGTGTGCCCAGGCAGAGTGAGGGAGGGGAGAAACAGAGGCAGAGCAGGGACTGAGGAAATATCACCATTCTGTAGCTCCTGTGTTGGTGCAGCCACGTGGATAGTGCAGAGCTGGAGTCAGCAATGAGAGTGACAGAGAGACAGAGGGACAAGAGAGAGAGAGGGCCCCATCTGCCCCACCCTGCTGCAGCCTCTTATGTACAGGAGATTTTTCCTGCAGAGCCAGCCCTTTGAGGCCTCCTCCAGGGAATGAGTTGAGGGTGGGGACTGAGCTCAAGTCTTCAGGCAGAGCAGAAATTTGGCTCAGGACAGTGCTGCTCCACCCCTGCAGGATCCTCTCTTCTCATCACAGCCTTCCTGTCACAGCACTTGCAATGTCTGAGGCAAACCATGCTTAGGCCTGGTCCTGCACATTCACATCACACCTTTTATACCACCAGCAAGTCTGCTGAAACTTTAATACAGTGTACAGAATGTTAAAAATGCACAAAATACCTGAACAGGTCTTGCTGGAGCATCTCTCTCAGAAGGCCCTGGAGATGTTGCTTGGCTGCTGCTGGTGGGGTTCTGAGATGGAGCTGCTTTTCTGTAAGGATGGTCCAATATTTCAAGTTACAAGGCCTAAATGTCAACTGCCATAGTCCTTTCCTTGCAGACCTTCAGTGCCAGGACTCCAGGAAAGAGCATGAAGCTGAGTTGAGGGAGCTTTAGGCAGGATATCAGGAAAACATTCATGCCCCAGAGGGTGCTTGAGCACTGCAACAGGCTCCCCAGGCCAGTGGTCACTGCAGCAAGGCTTCAGGAAGTGTTTGGATAGCACTCTTGGGCACCTGGTGTGATTCTTGTGGTGTCCTGTGCAGGGCCAGGATCCTGGCAGGTCCCTGCTGCCTCAGCATATTCTAAGAACCTAGGCTTCATTTCCCAGGGCTTTCTTCTGAAAAGGCTCTTTTCCTTCCCCAAAAGACTGAACTTACCTAGAAAGTATTAACTTCAAATTCGCTCTCTCGGTTTTGCTGTAGCCAGGCCAATCAGTCTGAAGGGCTGGAAACAGATGTTCCTTCAGACTGAAGGAATTATCCTTTGCATTCACGTCAGCAACCTACAGGCAGACATTTCGGAAAACAAATGTTCATTACGCCCATATATGCAAACTACAGAAACCTAAATGGGCTACTTGAGTTGGGATGGCAAAATGTGGCTCTCATTATATCGGGAATGTCTTCAGGGTGAAAAATCCCTGCCACTGCCCTGGGCAAACACAGCAACAAACCTCACAGGTTCAGGGAATCAGTTCCTTAAAGTGACTGTAGGATCAACTGAAAGTGTATCCATGTTGAATTTGAGTCCTTTGACTAGGTTCCAAAATGCTTTTTCCTAGCTAAAGAGGAACTAGTCCTATTGGATATATTAATGTTTGCATTATTCAGCAAAAGCCTCTGTGGATGGGGAATATTTAAAAAGGAAGGAAGGATCTACTGCATCTTTCCATGGGTGTGCGTTATGAAAGCCTATGAGAAAGTCATCCTAGTGGAACTTAACTCGAAGGAGTATTGGAAAAGTCTCTAATTTAAACAGGCGTGGAAGTAGAAAAATTATGAACGGCAGAATAGCATGATGGAAGAAGTGCTGGCACAAGCTCCACGATCTCACCTCCTGAAGGATTTTTCCAAGGGAATCCTTGTCCTTTTGCCTGACTCCATCTCTCTGCAGCCGAGCAAGTAACTCTGGCTCCTTGTAATCCCTCAGAGCAAGTAAATGAATCACCCTGTCCCTGTAGGGTCGGCCGTAAACAGCAGCGCAACCGCTCCAGTCAATGTCTGCAAGTCTCACAGACATCATCCTCTTCTTCTCAGGCACAGGACCTGAATTGCTTTGCTGGGCTCCTCTGACCACTGCTTTTGCTCCTAAAGAGAGGGAAAACCAGAAACAAATAGTTCAAATGGAGGTTTGGAGAAGGCAAGGAAGCTGATTTAAAAGGATGTACCAAGACTTTTGAGCCTCTATTTGTCCGTCATTTACAGATCTCCAAGCATCCAAAGAGTAAAGCATTAAAAAGAAACAGTCATTAAAAGCTGGTAAAGGAGTGATGCTGGATGGGAAGTTTTTAGGAAAAAATATTTTATGCATTTTACTTTTATATGATTTCCCCAGTTTGTAAGCTCAAGCATTCAGCTATCTCTAGAATGACACTAAGTGCACCCTCAGCAAGTGCATCCTCTAGAATGGATTAGGTGCACCCTCAGCAAGTTTGCCAAAACCAGAGGCATGGGATGCCATCTGGAAGGACCAAGAAGTAGGGCCTTTGGAACCTCATCAGATTCAACAAGGCCAAGTGCAAAGGGCTGCATCTTTGGGTTTCGGACATTCCCTGACACCAAGACAGGCTTGGGGATGAAGGTGGGGAGGACTTGGAGGTGCTGGTGGATGGGAGGCTAGATATGACTAAAAAACCATACAGATATCCAGTAAAAAATTAAATGGAAGCATATCTAAAAGTGGTCCATCAGTTTAATACCCTTTGCACTTGGATTGTGTGACTCCTTTTCTGCTTGGGTGCTGCACTCTCTGCTCATCTCTTTGGCTTTGCTCATGGCAAGCATTGTATCGAAACCCAAAGGATGGGATTTTTTCACCCTGTCTAACTCTGTTTCCTCACCTTTGGAGCTGGGAATCTTCCGCTGCACCCTGACAGGCGCTGGGATTCCAGATGGAGTCCGAATTTTATCTTTCTCTTGGAGCTGACAGGTGGAGGTGGAAATGGAGCTGACACTTGGAGCCAGGTTCAAAGTTGAGCAGGATGTGGAAGGCAGGTCCAAGGAAGAAGGAGAGTGGCCACCAGCTGCTGACTGGATACCATGGGGCTCTTGGTCAATCCTCTGCTTCTTGGTCATCACAGGATGGATAAAGGCAGAAGCCAGAGGCCGTTTCTGCAAAGATGATGCCAATTAGGTTTGCTTTGAAAAAGCAGCATTTCTGACCTGGCAATGGTTGAACGCACACCTTTCTTACCTAAAACGGCCTGTCATACAAGGAGGTGCTGCAGCTCAATATGTTCTCTATTTCATTCCTACTTTCTCACCTGAGTATTCAGCAAGTCCTCCTCCAGCTCTGTAGCTAAATGGCTTTGGGAAAAAGACATTCCCTTCAGCACCTCTATCAAAGGCTTCCCCAAAATGAGGAGCTCAGGTTGGTTTTATCTTGCTCCCTATTTCTGCTTAGACACACCAGGAACACACTCTACTCTTGCTGTCACACAGCCACACCATTCACTAAAGTGGCCCCAAGAAGCCACTGGTGCGGTGCTGATCACAGCGTGTCCAGTGCAGAGATGATAACAACAGAGAGAAGCCCCAGTCTGGCTGCAGGTCTCATTCCTGCTGCTCTCCAGAGGAAACCCTGGATCACAGCCTCTTCCCTACCAAGCACACACTGCTCCCACCATCAGCAGCTCAGAGCAGGACTGCCAGACACAGCTCTGTGCCAGCCTGCTGACAGAAGTGCTGTAGGCACGGAGGTAGGACATAAGAGGATGCTGGGCCCTGCAGCACTTCCTGCTCTGGCTGGGAAAAGAGCTAGGGAAAACCAGGGCTGTTTAAAGAGAATTCTTTAAGGTATAGAAAAGATACCTTTCAAGCAGGGTTTTCCAAGATTCTTTCAAAACTTTTTCCTTGCCCCCTTGTATTGGCCATCTCTTGATTTTAAGCCTGACAAGTCCAAGGTATTCCCTAATGATTCCAAGTCCCCTCCTCACACATGGGATAGCCTGAATCAAAATGGGAGCCTAAATGCTGCTTAGGACAGAAAAACAAGTTTCCTAGAAACGCCTCAGTACTGGAATTTGTCCTTATGCTAGACTTCCCTAAGATTTCTCTTCAAACATGATTTAGGTACTAGAGCTGCCATATCATCAAGAACCCTGCACAGACACAGCTAGGAACCAAAACCATGTCTACATCTTGTCCTTAGCAGAGTTTCCTATGCACCATGACAAACAAATCACGGGTGCAAGCCTGTTGCAGGCTTTGACATTGTAACCATCTTGAAAAGTATACAGGAATCCCATTAGAAGTACACACTTCAGGTTTCTATGATGTACAGACACTAGTGCTTCATACCACAGCTTGGACACCAAGAGCAAGTGGGATAAAACATCATATATGGTAGAGAATGTTTAAAAATTCACAAAATACCTGAGCAGTTCTCGGTGGAGTATTTCTTTCAGAAGGTCCCAGAGACAGTGACTGGCTGGTGCTGGTGGCATTTGGAGATGGAGCTGTTTTTCTGTAAGGATGGTCCAGCATTTCAGGTTACAAGGCAAAAATATCAACAGTCCTTGTTCTTTCCTCACAGCAAAAACAGACCTTCATTTCCCAGAGGGTTTTTTTGAAATGGTTGTTGTCCTGGCTGAACTTACTGAAAAAGGGTCACCTCCAATGTCTTTCTATCTCTTTCACTGTAGCCAGGCCAATCAACATGAATGTCTTTGAAGAAATGTTCCTTCAGACTGAAAGAATTCTCATTTGCATCCAGGTTGGCTACCTAGGGGCAGACATTTAAAACATCAATATTCATTGCACCTAAAGGCAGACTACAGATGTAAAACTGGTAGTACAGAGCTAAAGCAAAGCTGAAAAGAAAATCATGCACCAGTTTTCCAGGACTTTTGTTTGATGTGAAGAACAAAGCAGCTGTCATGTAAGAGGCAACAATATTAAACAGGTGTGGTCCATTTGGGCTGTAGAAATTTGGATGTAAGTAAATGCCAAACTGCTGCAAGCATGGAGGAAATGGAGGCTATGAAAATCTCTCCCTGCACCAGGGATCCAGGTTTTTTGGTCTTTAACGCAGCTTTGAGAATCAAGGTACACTATGCCAGAACTTCACATTTGAAATACATGGAGAGACCAGGTTTTTCCTTTCTGTTTTCCTTTTTTCAGGAGTAGGACCTGAAGAACATCATCCCCATGAGCAAGTCCATATTTTTCCACTCTCAGGAGGACACCTGCTGCCCTCTTGATTCACCCAGCTACATTGCCATGGCAGAACACAGCCTGGACCTGTAATGGGGCAGGTTTTTCATCATCCATGAAGCACCACAGGATGTTGGCATTTGTCTCTGCAACAGAACTGCTTTTCTTTCTCAAGTGTCTGCTCAGAGGAAAACTGCAGCTTCCTATGGAACACTTATAGGAGATAACCTACTAGAGCTACACTTCAACAGCTTAAAAGGAACAAAGATGCCCAGCATCAGGAATTCACTTTTAAAAGCAGAACTCAGG